GGGCATGCGGGGAGTGAGGAGGGGGAGCGGGGTGTGCACGGCCTTTTGGAGCCGCCTCGATGCCAGGCTCTCTCGGCAGGTCGACCTCGGGCACTTGTATGGGGACAACCTGGAACGGCAGCACCAGCTGCGACTCTTCAGAGACGGGAAGCTGAAATTCCAGGTACCGCCTGGCACAACCGAAACACACCTCAGCCCGGTGACCCAGGGCTGTTTGAAGCCCGTGTCCCTCTGGTAGCCCCCAGCCCTGATGTCCCGTGGGGCTGCTGGCTGGAGGTGCCATGCCAGAGGGACGAGCTTTGGGGTGTAGCTGTTCTGGCAGCAGCAGTCAGGGCTGTGTGAGGGGGGTGTTTCTGTCCGCTCACTGCTTGCAGGAGAGCAGCCGTGGTGCCCGCAGGGAGGCAGGTCCTGGCTGGGCAGGCTTTCACCGGCATCGTTTTCTCCCCTTCTCCCTTTCTGCCATCCCGTTTTTGTCTCCCAAGGAGGTGGATGGAGAGGTGTATCCCCCCATGGTCACTGCTGCTCCGGTTCACATGGTCTACCCGTCTGCCATCCCCAAAGAGAAGCAGCTGGCGATGGGGCAGGAGGTGTTTGGGCTGCTGCCGGGGCTCTGCATGTACGCCACGCTCTGGCTGCGTGAGCACAACCGCGTCTGCGACGTCCTGAAACGGGAGCACCCCACCTGGAGCGACGAGCAGCTCTTCCAGACGGCTCGGCTCATCCTCATCGGTGAGGGCCGGCGGCGCCACAGGGCTGGGGCACCGCGGAGCCCCGTGTCCCACCGCCCTGGGCAAGCCCCAAGGACTTGGGCGTTGGTCGGTCTGTGTCTGAGGGTGGTGGCCAGGCTGGCTGTAAGAGTTGGAGGAGTTTCTCTGGAAGCCTTCTGAGGATTACTGGCTTTGGGCCATAGAGCAAAAATTGGCTTTGATCCACCAAGAAAATTAATTTTGAATAATTTTGAATGATTTCAATGTTCGTTATAAATTTAATCTCATGAAAAACCTTTTTTTGACCAAAATCCAGAAAAAAGTCATGTCACCACATTATCTCTAAGAAGCATATCAAGGTCAGCTTTCCTCAGGAACCATTTCGGTTTTGGCAGACTGAGCTTTGCTGGCGAAAAAATAATTCACTGAAAACAAATTCCCAAGCAACTCAACAAGCCCTTAGTCAGAAAGGTCCCAGGTGGTGGATGGGTGCTGGGACGCGCTGCTGTAGCACATGGGTAACATCCCAGAGCTGGTGGCTCTGTCTGCTGCCAGCTGCCAGCTGCTTCTCTCACCTCCTGCCCAGGGGAGACCATTAAGATCGTCATTGAAGACTATGTCCAGCACCTCAGCGGGTACTACCTGAGCCTCAAGTTCGACCCCGAGCTGCTGTTTGGGACGCAGTTCCAGTACCGGAATCGCATCGCGGTGGAGTTCAACCAGCTCTATCACTGGCACGGGCTGATGCCCGACTCCTTCATCATCCAGGGGGAGGAGTACAGCTACGAGCAGTTCCTCTACAACACCTCCATGCTGATGGACTACGGCGTGGAGGCGCTGGTGGAATCCTTTTCCAAGCAGACTGCAGGCAGGGTAAGGTCCTGCTCTCTCAGGGCTGTGGGACCCCAGGGGGGACGCGGGTGGTACCGTGAAGGCAGTGGGTTGCACGTCACACATACATACATTCTACCGGACGGGCACACTGTGAGTCCTCCCCACAGGCACCGTAGCAAGGCTGGGCCTTGGCAGCCCCATTTATTTGTGCTCAGGACTCGGGTGATGCCAGGAGCCTGCTGTGAGCCGGGATCTCCGCCCAGGCTGGGCTGTGGAGCAGCCCGGGCATGGGAGCAGCTTGTCTGGTGCTGTTCTTTGCTGCCATCACATGGATGTTTCCTTCCCAGCGATTACATCTACATTTCTGACCCTCTTTGCTGGTGTAAAGCAGCAAGGCTGAGGTGCAGACCAGCTGCTCTTTGGGTGCTTGAGTTCTCCCCATGACCCCAAACTCCCATGCTCTCTCCCCTCCTCCCAGGCCAGTGGGTCACCGTCTGTCTGGGGCTTCTCCTGCACCATTCTCTGACCTGCCCTGGGAACAGAACTCTACAGCTGGTTTTTGGCACTGTCCAGTGATCCCCACTCTTGCTGCTGGGGTGACATGCTGGTCTCCACATCACCACGCCCAGGACATGGATGTTTTAGTGTGGTGGCTCCCCTGGAGCGGTTGCTGGTGCTGCCTTGTGCCTTACGTGTGCTCCTCCTTGTGTTCTTGCCCTCCAGATCGGTGGGGGACAAACCATCAACGCTAATGTCTTGGAAGTGGCCATTGGGGTCATCAAGGAATCCCGGCAGCTGAGGCTACAGCCGTTTAACGAGTATCGGAAGAGGTTTGGCATGAAGCCCTACAAGTCCTTTCAGGAGCTAACAGGTAGGGCTGCAGCGCTGCCGCAGGAGCTCTCAGGGCTTCACTGGGGCTGTGCAGATGCTCTGTGCCCGCAGGGGGGTTACAAGACCACGAGCTGCCCCCCTGCTGCTGGGCTGGCCCGGCAGAGCAGCCGCTCCTGCCCCTCCATGTCTGGTTGTGCCCCTCGCACCGGGGCAGCCAGGGCTGATGCCTTGGCTGCGGGGTCCTGCCTCCTGCGGGGCTGGATGAGGTCTGAAGGGCTGTGCCTGGGAGCTGGGCTCACTGCTGTCACACTCCCGTTACCCACAGCAAGGCCAGTCCTTGCCGGGGGCAATTCCCTTGCTAAACCACTCTTGACGTTCACTTGGTGCAGGAGAGGAAGAGAAGGCGGCAGAGCTGGAAGAGCTTTATGGAGACATTGATGCTCTGGAGTTTTATCCGGGTTTGCTGCTTGAGAAACCCCAACCCAATGGTATTTTTGGGGAAAGCATGGTGGAGATCGGAGCTCCGTTTTCGCTGAAAGGGCTTCTTGGAAACCCCATCTGCTCCCCAGAGTACTGGAAACCCAGTACGTTCGGTGGAGCAACCGGCTTTGAGATAGTTAAGACGGCGTCTCTCGAGAAGCTCGTGTGCCTCAATGTGAAGAAGTGCCCCTACGTGGCGTTTCGTGTGCCGGATGCCGCGGAAAACGGCAGCCCTCGAGGTGGTGGATCATCTACTGAGCTCTAGCACCAGGACAGCCTGCCCAGGTTAGAGACCGTCCTTGGCCAGGCGCCGGCTGAGCCGAGCTCCCGGCCTGGCGCTGAATATCCCGTTCCTTCCCACAGGGAGCAGCGGGACACAGAGACCTGCCCACCCCTGTGCCAACAGGAGCAGGACAGACGATGGTCCCATCCTGGGCATCCTGCACACCAGCCCTCAAGGAGAGGCTGGTACCAGCTCTGTGAAAAGCTCAAGTGCCTCAGAGGTGTGGCTGCCACCACTGCCCTCAGCAGACTCAGTTCTTTTGCTAATGAATACCTTGCACTAAGCCAGCTTTGGGGTTCCCCAGGGGACGCCCGTCTCCCCGGGATGCTCAGGATTCCCCTGTGCTTTGTCACTCTCTGTCCCCGCTGCTTTCCAGCACCAGGCCACCAGCAGCCCCTCTTCTGCAGGGCTTCCCTGCTCGGGCCAGAGGAGCACAGAGCCCAGGGAGCCCTCGCAGTCCGTCCACCCCAGCCTGTCCACAGCCAGGCACAGCCAAGACACGGCCAAGAAGAAGGAACCAAAGCAGCATTTCTGCAGGAGGAGACGCGGGGAGAAGCATCAGATCAGACCTCCCAGTCCTCCTGTGTCTCCCACCCGCTGGGTGGGACCCCGGCACCGCTGCCTGCCAATGCTGGGCTGCTCGGAGCAGGACGCTACCTCTGTGCAAACACAGCGGTGAAGTCTCTTCTATCCTACGATCATTACACTTCCCTGCATTAATAGCTCAGCAAACGGCATCCCCAAGGCACACAGAGCTTGTTTCTGCCCTCCTCCAGAAACGCACGCAGATGTCAGCCCTCGCTGACATGATGACATGGTAGCTGGCAGCCACTGTCAGTGGCCTTGATCCCCATCAGATCCCGGTTCACCTCCAGCAAAATGGACATTTAAAATAATAAATGATTTTAAAAACTCCTCTTATTTCCTCCAGCCAGTTTCCAAGCTGATTTTTTTATTCCTGATCAACCAAGTGTGTCATGATCCAAATTCCTCCTGGCACACAGACACCCCGTCCCACCGCTCCCACGCAGCACCGCGTGGTGCACAAGTGCTGAGCAGCAAGCCCAGAGGAGGACACGGTCCTTTCCCATCCCACAGTTCCCTTTCCCCAGCTTTCCCCTTTCCCTGCCCCTCTGGGTGGGAAACCAGCACGCAGTGGTGACGCTGTGCCAGGAACCAAATGACCCACACGTGCTGACAACTGGTTACGTGGCAGCGGTGGGGATCTCTCCCCCAGGATCAGCCCCACCAGCTCTACCTTGTGCTGTGACCCCCGCCCAAGAACCATGACCCTCGCTGTGCTTCCTCACTCAGAAAAAAAAAAAAAAAAAAAAATCCAAATGGCAGCAAATGGGGAGCAACACACTGTCCAAAGAGTGTCAGCGTGGCTCAAATCCCACTGGGATCCACGCGCCCTGTGTCTCCAGAATGTGTCCCCGACTGCCCTTGCCTTCACTGTCTGGCCGAAGGCACGAACTTGGCTCGTTTCAGTTAGACCACAAACATCCTGCTCTGTAGCTATCGAAGGCTGCCAGCGCTGTTTTGGCACCAGCCGATACGTGTACGAGAGCCCACCAGGCCATGGAGCTGCCTGGATGCTGTCACCGAGGAGGAACGTTTCAGCAGGAACGAGCTCAGCGGAGCCAGCACTGGCAAACCTGGCACCTCTCCCTGCTGTGCCAACTCCTACACGGCACAGGCCGGGGCAGCAAAGCATCTCCCTCCTGCACCTCACCCTTCTGCTCACGGGAAAAGCTGTGAAATTGTTTCTTTCCAGGACCAACACGTATAAGGCCAGGCAGAGCATCCAACATGCTACTGCCACCTCCTCCCCCGTGAGCCTGGGGACCCCCAGCCCAGCTCACAGAGCTCCCCCCAGCCCAGCGCTGCCGAGCCTTTGCATTTTGTTTGCTACTCTTTCAGCCATGGCAGTCTGCATTCACTCACATCCTCCCCTCAGCTTGTCCACCACAATGTGCAGCCACATCCAAGCTGGAAGTCAGTAGTTTGCATCTAAACGCTGTGTTTAGTCTGGTGCATCAACCAGCATCACCCGACCAAGGTAAGGGCTCCACGGGCCCCCCCTGCGAGCTCTGGGGACAGTGCAGGGGTGAGCGCTGCTGGATGTACCCTCTGTTTGAGCTCGTGGTAAACACAGCTCGCAGGACATCCTCCGATTTTTTAAACAAGCGCATCTGAGGAGCCCAGCTGCAGCTTGTCCATGCAGGGACGGACGTGGACGGGACAGAGCTGCCTGCGTTCGTGCGGCACGAGCAGCATCGAGAAAAACATGGGTCTGTGGTTGTGTGAGCTCTGCAGTGATGATTCACTGAGCAGGAGGTCACTGCTGACCAGAACAGACCCACCGAGGGACGTCAAGTGTCTGCAGTGCGTTTTCACACAAAGCGGTGCCTGCAGGAGAGGGAAGAGGTTGCAGCCAGGCTGCAGCTGCTCTGGGGTTTCCCTCTCTGGGCAGCCCGTACCCCTCCGGCCCTGCACCTGGTCAAGATCCATGATGGTAAGTTATCTAAACCCCATGGTGGCACAAATAAGGGCCCCAGGGCTGAGTGGAGAAGTAATCCTCCATCTGCGTAAGCCCCAGCAGGCCCCTCTGCAGCGTCACGCCAGCGATTGCACGGGAACGCTGCTTTGGATTTTTAGCAAAGGCATATTTTGAACATTTTAGGAAGATGAGGTAGATCAGAAGCCAGAACAAATCAGTATAAACTTTTCTAAATCTTGTGCCTTACTGCCTGGAACCCAGGTTGGCACCATGAGCCTTTAAGCTCATTCTGTGATTTCATTCCTCGCCAAGCAGCTGTCTGATTCCTTGTATATCCTGTGGCCAACTTCTGCTGTTTGTATTGGAACATCAGTAAATGTGAACAAACCCAGGTGATTTTACACACCCCTCTCCCAGTGGAAAATTACGCCCTCCTATAAAACCCGTTGTTTCTGGATGCCCTCTCTGCTGTAGGCTGCTTTTTTGAAAACAACACATTCCTGGGAAGCAACACAACCTACCTGACAAGTGTTTTTCAACTCCTATTTATAGCACTTCTTGAAGATTAAAATCAGACTCAGAGATGACAGACTGGGTACATGTTCCATCTTCATCTGAAGGGGGCAAACCAGACCAGGCTGCAGCCAAGGGGATGCACAGAACTGACCGACCAGAGAGCCACCACCTGTGGGAAGAGCCAGAGCCACCTGGGCCACGCCGGGATGTTTGTCCTGCGCTTGAGAAGTAGCAGATGGAAAATGGGATGAAAAAAGGACAGACAGCAGAGGCAGAGCACGTAACATCTCAGCAGGAGGAAGTCTTGTGTGTTAGGACTTAACCATGTGTTAACTTACAGCCATGTTTTAGTTATACAAATAGTATAAATGCCTTAAAACATTTAAAGGTGATCAATACCAACCTAATTTTCCAGGACCAGCTGCTCGCTTTCCAAGCTCTCTTGCCCTGTTGGAACTAACAGATTTAACAAAGTTTGGTTTTATTTATGTTTTTTAGTTGCTGGCAGAATTGCATCCGAAGAAGGTTAAAGTGTGATCCGTGCCCACACAGCTCTGCCGGTATGTGACAAGGTGACCCCAAGTCGCTCTGCACCAGGACTCTGGACTCCCTTGGCCTCTCACAAGCAATGTTTGTATCTCAGACCAACTGGTGCTAAAAAAAGCGGCAGAATTGCTGGTGAGAGAACGGGGAGACACCGAGGGACACGAACTCCCAGGCTGGTTACTTGCTTGGGCTCAGAGCCCCGTGCTGGCCCTGGCCGCTCCCTCCCGCCGTTGGTGCCCGGGGCCCCGCAGAGCCGCCTGCGGGCAGGCAGAACGCTCGCCAAGGCCAGGCAAGGTCCAGACACAAACATTTACAGATACGGTGTTGGTATGAGCTGTAGTTTTCATTTGTATTGAATCGATGGGGACAGACACAAATTAGTAATTAACCTATTCCAAATTAGTTTTATGTTGTCATATTGTTTAACACACATTAGGAATGCTGGGTTTTTTAGGGCACACCAGTTGGTCATTTTGGAAGGATTTTGCTTCAAGAATGGACAAAAGCACCAGCAGCAGTGCTCCACACCGCCAGCAGTGCCACCAGCCTCCTCTTCCTCCTCACACCGTGCTGCCTGCACTGAGAACCAGAAGCAGCATTATCCTACATCTTCTCTCTACCCCTTGTGCTTATTATATTCTTCCAGATCAATGATTAATTGCATTCAGACCTTTTTTCTTTTCCTTTTTGCTACTGGCACTGTAAACCATCCATCACACACCTGAGCGCTGGAGATTAATAACCAGGAGTCACCTTGCTGCAGGCCAGCTGACACAGAGCAGCAGGAGAGGTTTTGATCCTATTACAGTTTTGCTGCCATAGGGGCAAAAAAAAAAGAGCACTTTATAAAAATAAAAATTCAAAGCAACTTAAGCAGTCAGCTCTCCCCGACCCTCTCTCCAAGCCAGGTTTTATTATGATGCTAATATGCACCCTGTCTGCACGACAGACTTCACTGAATCTCATCCTGAATATAAATTACAGCTACTTTGATTTTTTTTTTTTCTTAAATGTGCTGATATCCATGCTCAATGATTTAATTTCATTTAAATTTCATGGGTTTTTTTCTGCAGTTCTGAGATGAAAAGAAATAATCTCTTACCACATTTTAAAATCTGGATTTCTGCCAGTTTCCTTAAAAGAGCTACAATTTGTGCCAATTCAGTAATTTTTAATTACAAATTATTTATTTTGCTGCTTATACTACTTTTTAAAATGCAGTTCAAATAGATAATTACAAATGCTTCTTTTTCTACCCTAAGATCTATTCTTATTAAGAACCTAGTGCTTACACAGAGACATTTGCCTTCCTTACTGGCGTTCCAAAGTGCCTTACAGAAAACTTGCAATTAAATTTAATCATTAAACACAGCATTACATTAGGTCATATATTTAGGTAGAGAGCCTTTCCTCGAAATTAAAAAATAACAAGCAAAACAAGCAATGTGTGAGAAAGCAAACATGTTGTAATATCAAATTGTGTAGCAAAGGATTAAATAATAACTAAGCACGGAGCGCATGCGTCCGATGTGCTGTTTGTGCTCGGGATGCTGTTTGGGCAGTTCAGCCCCACCACAATCTGCCCAGTAAAGCCTCCACCTCGCTGGGCATCAGCAGAGGTTTTTGCACTTGCACCTGCTGTAAATTGCCAACGGCTTCAAACGCTGCCCAGGCTCTCTCACAGCCACGCAGCACCAGGCTGTCTGGAGGCAGGGTGAACTTAGTAAACCTGGAAAATTACTTCCCCATACTATGATCTGATTTATGAAGGAAGTAGAGCACAAACAAAATAAATAAACACACCTTAATGAAACAGTAATCACTGACAAATGGCAACGGCATCGGTGCTGCAGGCGGGAAGCGCGATAGGCAGCCGCTGCGTGCAGTAGCAGTAACGTTGGGCTCAGCCAGTGCTGGCGTCTGTGTCCGAGCAGGAGTCACCCTGGGGTTGGGGAAGAGGAGAACTTTAAGATCAGTGTCACTGGGTAACAGAAAAAGCTGCAGGGATGCTTTTGAGGAGACCTTTAATTATTTCTTACAAAGGTCTCACCCCTACCCCGCAAGATTTTTTTTGTTAGCTAACTCCACTGATACATGATGTAAAAACGCTCCCAAAGAGCTGCTGTCACAGAAAAAACAGGACAGTGGTAACGTTTTTGATCCTGCTGACTACTCTGTGCAGAAACTGGATGCTGAGCTTCCGAGAATTGGCTGGGGACAAAGGGGCCAGCCAGCGAACACCTGTCCTGGTGACCGGGCCTCTCGGCTCCAGGCTGCTCTCCCACAGCACCATCCCGCCAGCTGTCAGGTCCAGGGGTTATTAATATTCAAAACACAGCTGATGGCCACCCAGCTGAGGCACAGAATGGGAAGGCAGACAGACAGGAACTTTAGCACTGATTTAGTCATCTTAAAGAGATGAAATTCTGAGGTTATTCAAGTCCTAATTCTACATTTTGCCAACAATTTCTCCTTGATGCAATTCAGCACCCATGTTGGAGCTCTTTATAACAGTCTTTCTCTTAAGAGGCAGAGATCATTTTCTGACGAAGTGACTACTACTCTAAGGGTGGGTATTTTAGAACCCAAGAATGTATTAAGAGCTGTAATCGAAAGATCTTCTCATTTAAGTCTCAGGCAAGGTTAAAGGAAAAAGAACTCTCTCGAGATGAAAAGTAATTTTCAGGATGAAGTCGGGAGCTGTTGTTATTTGTGAGAAAGGAACAAAAATTTGCTGCCAAGTGTTACAACAAGAAGGGGACCATGAAGAAGGGGACTGCAAACTGGGGAGCAGAAGAAGCGACCTTGCACTGTTAACTGGCAGCAGTTCAGCTCCAGGTTAATAAAGTCTTGAATGCTTAAAAACTTCTTTATTTGCAGTCTTAATTCTTGTTTTAGTGAGCAGTGGCCACACCTCAATCCAACTGGTATTTACATAACACTGTTTCAGGAAATCTGTAAAGAGACCAACCATACACAGCTGATCTGAGAACAAAATGTTTAAAAAAAAATCTAAGGGATGTGGAGAACAGAAATGACAATGTACAGTTCCCTAAACTTATTGAATTGTGTTAGGACTTCATGTTTAGAAAAATATATTTGAATTGCATAAAAGCAAGATTCTTTTAAGTGTGTACTTTATTGAATTAATTTAAGAAAATGTTAGGAATTCCTTATGTTAACAAATTTTTAATGAGCAAAAGTCAAAGTGCATGAAGGGGAAGAATACATACCCACACTACGGAAGAAAGAGAACAATCCCTAGCACAAGAACATCCCACAGTACAACTACACCTACTGGCCCTGGGTGCAAGTGCTTCAGTCTATCTCCAGGTCACTGTCTTCACTGTAACATGCAGACGGATTATGTATAGAAGTCAGGAGCACTAGGTCTTTTTCTGGAAGCAAACCACATTCCTGCAGAAAAGCCTCCAGGTCTACAGCAAAAAAATCTTCCCCGAGCTGGTCAGTGATGCGCACAAAATTGCCGATGAGCTCCCCTGCCTTATAGATGAGCAGAGCTGGCAGAGCGTTGTTAGTGAAGCGAGCGCTAGCACCGATGAGCGAGCTCTTTACTCTGCAAAATTTAACTGTGGGATACTCAGCAGCCAAGCAGATCATACAGCCGTTCAGGGATTCGGTGCCAGGGATATCATCTTCATAAATGTGGATCATGATCAGGGTGCTCTTATGCTCTTTATCAACCGTGTCCAAAAACGCTTCTCCACTGGTAATCTCAAAAACCTGTTTAAATTGCTGCCCGCTGTACAACTGCTGCCTCATCTCCTCCATTCGCTGCTTCCTGTATCGCTGTAAAAATTCCTCATCATCCTCATCATTGTGAATCATGTTATATTCTTGTAACGTCATCTAAAAAACACAGAGACACAAGGAAAAGAGAAAAAGATCTGCATCACTATATGGGCCACTTATATAATGAGAATTTCAATCAAGAGGATTAATGTGGGTCACTCATCTTTAATAACAGCAAAGTGCAACCCATGAAGGCTCAAGCACCCTCTGTATGATAATTAGAGACCATGTCCAGTGGGAACAGCAATTTCAGCCTTGGGTGTTCTAGTTTCCCCAAGCAGCACTAATAACACAAGTGGCTGCTCCAGGCTCTCACTTTAATTCAGGTTAATGGGGCCTGGGTGCTTTCACCGAGCTACGGGTGCTGATTTGGATACCGTGCCTGACCTGTCTAGCTCCTTTTTCACTAGCTTTTTCATTTAGTTTTTCAGTTAACATTTTGTGGCAACTAAATGCCCTGCACCTTGTCTGTAGAACTAAAGTTAACTGGGTTTTATGTATTTTGTATCTGTTCACTTGCTTTGTTAAACATACTGGCATCACTCAAGGTATAGGACAGTGTGGCCAACTTTCATCATCTGAAAGCAACACTGTCTGCTAATTAGTAACTTCTCCGACTAGAACTGCAAGAGCTAGTTACACAACCCAGCTGATTAAAAACCATTACTGCTCCCAACGCCTTCTATCTTTGGAGCTCAAAGTCAAAGTTAAATTCTCAACATCCACTTACTAACCATGGAATTAGTAAGGACTCCTGAACTCGTTTTAGGCATGGGAGGCAGCATCCATGGATTTACTGTACAACTCTTCGGATTAATCCCCTGAAGTTGACTTATTTCACGAACAGAGAAGGGAAATCTGGGAAAAGGGTTTGGACTTCTTCAGTACAGCAGCTAAATCGCTTATTTTTAACACTGGCAAATGCAATGCGCTTGGAATACCACTAAAATGCAAAATAATTACACTGGCAAATACAGTCACAATGCACCTCTCAGGCTGCTGCTGTGCTCCTATTACTAGGGAGAAACGATACATATCTGCTGCTAAAACAACGATTCCTATCTGCTTCATGCACACAAATGGTGAAACTGAAAATTTTAAAACATTTAACTGGCGTTTTAATTCCTTCATGCCATGCTACCTTTCCATTGATTTTCTCCTGCAGCTCTTTCTGCTTCTGCTTATCAGTCTCTTCGTCTAAGTGAGATCTACACGTCATAGATAACTTCTTAATGAGTCGTTCCATTTCTCGGCGCTGCTCCTGCCGCTGTTCAGTTTCCAGTTGTTTAAATCTTCGCCAGTCATTAATGACTCCTTTGGGACCTGAAATTAAATATGTAGGCATTTGGTATAAAAGCAAAATAAAATTAGACCTATCATTTAAAATTCAAGTAATAATTTATGTCAACAGAAAAACAGGGGCCCCGTCATGAGCTTTTTGTATACTCTGCAAAATGCTGAAATGAAACAAAAGAAGTGATTTTCCATTTACATGTCCTTGAGCTCGTATCTTTTTTGTCCGTAAGAAGACTAAAGCTTATTTAACTAGGCTACTCTCATAACTGTCCCAAAGATTATTCTGAAGATTAGTATCTGTGCTCTTGAAATAGAATCACCAGTCCTCCAGAACTCCCCTACTGTGAGCATGGCTTTTCATAAGAGCAAAAATAACGATGGGAAAGTATAATTAAGTTTGCCGATGCCCTCGTGCAGAAGTACATCCTGTGATGTACAACTGTGCAAATTCTTACAGACCAGACCTTGCTGCTGGGGCCCACTGGAGTTACTTTTGCAGGTGCTCCTAGGTATGCCAGTTTAGCACTCTAATTTTTCTGTTATTCCTTCAGGTGGAAGATGTGAACACACGCAGGAAGATTGTTCATCCTTCTTAGGGAGACTGTAAAACACAGGGTCAGTCTTTTTCATAAAAACATAAGAAACACCCTCTGGATCACATCAACGACCCGCACAGACTCTACCGTGTCTGTGCTGTGGCAGGAGAGACCGTGATTTTGGGAAAGCCTGGCCACTTTCTCTCTATTCCTCATGTACTCACTCAGCACCCTCCTGTTAACAGTTAACAACTGTGCAGCTTACAGGAAAGAAATTTATGCATTATCAACCAAATTTTACAGATCAGCTTTGTACGCAATGCCTAACTGCTTTAGATATATTGCCAGTCTCTCAGAGAAGTCAAACATTAAAGAATCAGCTGTTACAAATAAGGTTAGACTACAGCCAGGTAAAGTATGCATAAACCCTAAACACAGGACTTGCATTTTGAGAAATTAATTTTAGAAAAAACACATAAATCTTCCAATAAACAAAGTACTTGCAAAAACAACCAGTTTGCTATGACGATACCTGTGTTGACTGCACTGCCATCACTGCTGAGCTCTACTTCCCCAACGCCTTCAGGAATAGTGCCCTCCCCTTCTTTATCTTCTTTCTCACTGTCTTCATCCTCGCCCTCGCTGCTGCTGTAATAATACTGGAGCTTCTCACCAAGCAGTTTATCATCCAAAGTAGTCATTATGTTCTAAAAAATAAATTAATAAAATAGAAAATGTATCTCTTATTCAAACAGGCAGTGAGAGATACCACTTTAAATGCATAATGATAGTCCCTTCCTTCCTCAGAGCAGTTTTTTAGCCACGTAAGAACAGTTTACAGCCCACCACCAAACAGTCCACAGTGCACGCAGTCACGTGAGTTAATTCTTAGTTACAATTTCAAACTTGGTTAAGTTAAAAATCTTTAGAAACAGAACTGTTTGAGGCTCGTTAGAGCAGAAACACTTTATGTGTGTTCTCATTTATGGAGAATGAATTTTCTGACTGTGATTCAGGAGTCTTATCACCCTCACTCAGACAGCTCCAGGAGGTTGATTTCCCAGTTACTGAAATTTAAATTTACAGTATTATTTGTATTTTACCAATGATTGATTTGAGCTGAAAAACGATCAATATAATTAATAAAATCAGAATGTTCTGACCTTTACCCTTTTCCAGTCTTTCACAGAGACGCTTCTATCAAAACCTGGAAGAAGAAATTTCAGATTATATTAATTCAACTTGTTGAAGACAATCTGATAAAAATATTCAGAAATCCAGCACATTTAGATAACGTAACGCATGTGAGGAAAAAAGTTTAGACAAAATGTAACCATATGTATTGACCATAAAGAAGGTTACTCTCAAACACAATGTCCTTCCTGTGCATGGAGACAGAACATACAAATGGTTGGTGCAGTCAGTGCTCCAGTTTCAGGAACATCGCTTCCAGGCAAAGAAATAACATATCAAAAGAAAGATCTTCACATCCGTCAACTTTTCACCTGCTCACTGACCACACCGGTCATCTTCACAGAAGTCAACAGCATCCTGTTTATATGGACAACACTGAAATTGGATGCTGTCACACTGATAAAGCGATTACAACTATATTAAAAATCCTCACTTTTTCCGAATTACATTTTTTCAATCCAAAATACCTTCTGCTAAACAGAAGTTAACAACAGCAGAATCTGCCCTCTAAAGCGACTTGACGGCATCAGCATTTACAGACTTTGTGAGCCTCTCCCATCACAACAGCAAGATCAGATGTTTCAAAGCAATGGCAAACTGAACCACGGAGCACCTTAACTTTGGGGCTCTCTCACCACTGAGTCCTTCCACCAGAGTCCTCTGGAAGTGCCGCTGACTGGATCTCACCCTGACGGAGATGCAAAGTTATTATTCTTTCCTGGGTGAGGGGAAAGAGGTGTAGAAGGACGTGCCACTAAGGTCAGGTACGTGGCTGTGGACCTGTCATGCACTGATCTACATCTAAACGTCTAGAATTATTTTTTTTTTTTTTTAAAAAAAGGCAATTTCAATCAAAACAGTTGATTTGGGCTCACGCTTAATCCTGCAGCACTCGACAAGTCAACCCTATTAATGGGTATTTGACAAGGTCACCCCGAGCAACGCATGGATCAAGCAGGGCTTTTCGTTCTTCTGCCAACCGCTGGCAGGTTCCGCAAGAGTTAACGCCAGGAGCGGCAGATTATGGAGGAGCGGCCAGATGGCCCAGGATTACCGAGATGACCTCTCGGAGCGGGGCGGCCGGGGCGCCCCGAGCTCAGC